TGCCTACGTATCCGCCACAAGGTCCGTCCCCTCGCCGATCACATACTGAGGCAGACAGCACATGCATTTGACCCGCATATCAGTCAGGGGAACACGGGACTCTCACTTAGAGCGGACGGCACGAAAGCATGTGTGTGGCTGGCTACCTCTCTCTCTCTCTCGGTTGGCTGAGATCAGCTGGTTGTCTGGTGTGTTTGGCTGCGCGTATGGATGGCTGGTATGCTTCGCGTGTGGGTTTGACCGTTACCAGAGAGAGGACATCCGCACCATGACACTTTCGTAACACTCTGCAGGAGACGAGATACACCGCGTCGCAACCTACATCGCGGGCAAGTGGCCATCCATCCTCGCCGTGCTCGATGGCAGTCTGGCGTTCATCCTCGGCTCGTCCCCCGCCCTCACCCACCTGGACATCTTCCCGCTGCTGTGCTGCACTGATTACGGCGATTACGGCACAAGCGAGAGCTCTGTGGTGCCCCTCACCACCGCTGCCCTCCAATCGCTCAAGAACCTGCGCCACGTCGGCCGCCTCAACTGTGTGGCGGCGACACGGAGACAACCAGGGTGGTGACGTTGCTGCGCCAGCTGACGCCCAACAGCGGCGGTGCTGCGGCCTCGTCCAGCATCAGCGCAAGTCCCTTCCCCTCCCCCTCTCCCTCTCCGTCGGGAGCCGCCACGAAGCGCCACCTCAAGGTCCACTGCCCCCTTCGCATCGTCCGTGACCTGGGTCGGGCCGATGACTCAGTTGAGACGATTCGTGAGGCGGAAAAGATGGGGTGGGAGGTGGTGAGAGAGGGAGGGACGACATCCATAGATTGCCGTGGGGAGACCACCGAGGGCCCCCCGACCGCCGAGACCCTCGCCGTGGTGGAGACCATCAAACGGCATGCGGGAGGGGGGGATCCCACCAGCCCGCACTTCAGCGGCATCCAGTTCGACAACGCATCCACACTCGACATCACACTCAGCACCCACGGCCCCGATGTCGATGCCGAGTCATTCAACAGCATCCCCAACGGGCTGATCGAGGAGACCACACTCAAATCACTCAGGTGAGACAGGGAGAGAGAGAGAAACGAAGACGCTTCGCAGAATCTCTCTGTGGATGTGTGTATGGATGTGTCAATTCAGCAACGTGACGGAGTTTTACCTATCGGATATCAACGGCGGCTCATATGGCATCTCGACGTGCGACCCCGAGTATCTGATCCCGCCCGCCACGCCCAACCGACTCTCGCGCCTCCTCTCATCCCTCCCCGCACGCACACACGTGGACTTCGACTACTCAACGGCCCACGCCATCCTGGCCTCAGAGGCGCTCGCATACATCCAGCAGGGCATCACAAAGCCACTCAAGGTACCTACCTATGGTGGTGCCATCCCTGCATCAAGATATCCTGCCTTGTCCATCCCGCATTGTGTGCGCGTCAATCAGAAGCTGGAGATAGTGTACGACGAGCCGCTCTTCTTCAACAAGCCCCGCACCAAGGCGGCCGCCCCTGTTGCCTTCCCCTCACCCGACACCCCCCGACAGTACCCTACTGTGGAAGAGCTCAGCATCGAGATCAAACCCATCGAAATCAGCTTTGTGGGCGTCCAGGCCGTGTACAACGCGAGAGCCGAGAGCGTCCCCGAGCGGCTGCGGGACCTCTTCCGCCTCGTCCACGAGCTGCGGCCCAAACACGCCACCTTCAAGCTCAGCGAACGGGCAGACACCTTCGCCGCTCCTGGCGACGGTGACCAAGTCGAGAGCGAGCTCGACTTGCTGTTCCGCGAGAGCCGTGTGCGCGACGACATGGCCGAGTATGGCATGAAGCTGCGTTTTCCCAACATCGGCGCGCGCTACAATGGCAAGTACTCGTCGATCGAGGAGCTGGAAGCCCTGCCGCGCGAGCACGAGTTGGCCGTCGAGATGGCGATATGGCCGCTGGACAACAGTGATGCTGATGGGGAGGAGAGGGAGGGACTCGACGATGAGGAGGGCTGGACGGACTGAGGAGGGGAGTGGGGAGATAGTTAGCTGCCGGTGTGAATAGCCACTTCGTGTACAGACAGACAGCCGAGAGAGCAGCCCAGCCGAATGCTCGGCTGCCGCCTTACGAGAGGAACAGTGTGCAGATGGCTGTGTAGTGCTTGTGTATGTTGTTGGACGGCCCCTCGCGGACCCCAGGTCTATGCGGGTCCAATGCTGTGTGTGTGAAGGCTGTACATCGATTCATGAAACCGCATCATCTTGAGTCTGGCATGCAGGCACACACAGAGAGGGTCCCACACACACCACACCCAGCCCAGAGGGCCATCTACACCAGCTATGCACAGCACACGACTCTAACGCACGGACATACACACGGATCGATGCACACCCACACACGCAACACACCCACGGCCGCCGGCCTCGCCATCCACCACTTATCCGACGTCTCACGTGCTGCCCCGGCCACCGTCATCGGCTCTGCTGACGGCTGGCTGGGCCGCCCTCTCGGCAACAGCCGCGGGTGCGGGCGGGGGAGCGTGGGTGAGTCTGTCAGGGAACCATCCGGATGACTCGGGCCGGGGGT